AAATGATTAATGTCATTAGTGATTGGGGAAATGCAAATCAAAACTACAATCAGATACCATCTCACCCTAATTAGAAAGGTATAATAAAAAAATCAAATACTGGTAAGGATGTACAGAAAAAAATGGATGTTTAGACACATTTGGTGGGAATGTTAATTAGTTTAGTCATTACAGAAAACAGTACAGAGCTTCCTCAAAACATCAAAAATAGTTATACCATATGATCCAGCTATCCCACTCCTTGGTATATATCCAAAGGAAATGAAATCAGCATACAAAAGAGATACCTGCAAACCCATGTTTACTATGGCACTGTTCACAATATTCACTGCATGGATCAGCTCAGGTGTGCATCAACAGATGAATGGATAAAGAAAATATATAAACAGAAGAGTACTATTCATCCATCAAGAAGAATGAAATGTCACTTGTAAGAAAATGGATGGAACTGGAGGACATAATCTTAAGCAAAATAATAGAGACTCAAAGACAAGTGTTATGGCTTAGATATGTGGTGTTATCCAAATGCTTATGTGTGAAACAATGCAAGAAAGTTAAGAGGTGAAATGATTGGATTATAAGAGCCTTAAATTAATCACTATATTAATCCACTGATAGGTATTACCTATGGGTAGGTAGGGTATGGCTGGAGAAGGTGGGTCATTGGGAGCAGGCCTTTGGGGTTTTTATTTTTGTTGATGTAAGGATAACCTTCACTCTGCTTCTTGTCTATGTCCTAAGCTACTTCCCTCTGCCAAACTTTTATGCTATGATGTTCTACCTCATCTTGAGCATTGAAAAAATGGAGTCAGCCATCTATGAACTGAGACCTCTGAAACCATGAGCTGCTAAATAAACTTTTTCTTCCCTAAGATTGTTCTTGTTAGGTCTTTTAGTCCCAGCAGTGAAACTGCTGCCTAGAAGAAGTATTGTGTATTTTCACACCTGTGGAAACTTAAAATATAAAAAACCCCATAATCATAAAAGAAACCATGAAAGTAGCAGAGGGATTATCAGGACTCAAAAAGGTCCCAGGGGAGGGAGGATAGACACAGAATAAGCATGAATGGACACTGTTATGGTGATTTTTTTTTATCCTTCAAAAGTTCATGTGTGAGACAATGCAAGAAGGTTCAGAGGAGAAATGATTGGGTTGTGAACGTCTTAACCTAATCAGTGATTAATCCCTATAGGAATTAAGTGAGTGATAACTGAAGTGGTATAGTGTGGTTGGAGGAGGTGGGAATTGAGGGCATGGCTTTCGGATATATACTTTTATCTGGCAAGTTGAGACCTCTCTCTCTGCTTCCTGATCATCATGTAAGCTGCTTCCCTCTGCCACCTCTTCTGCCATGATGCTCTGCCTTACCTCGAGCTCCAAGGAATGGAGCCTGCTGTCTATAGATTGAGATCTCTGAAACTGTGAGCCCCCAAATAAACTTTTCCTCCTCTACAGTTTTTCTGGTTGGGTCCTTTACTCACAACAGCAAAAAAGCTGACTAAAACAGGCATGATCAACATATAATGTATGCATGTATGGATTATCACAGTGAATCCCAATTAATTTGCATAAAATTATAAAAAAAATTATATAAAAATGCATAAAAACATTTCTAACATTCTGTGTTAATAATTCTAATAAAAATAAAGAAGAACCTAATATTAAATTACTTGGATTAATAACTGTGAAAGCAGGAATATTTGGTATTTATAAAACTCAAGAAATAAAATCTAAGTACAATAAAGTAACATATGTCTAGAGCCTCTTTTGGAGACTTATCATATGTGAAAATTCAAGGTTACCTTCCAGTTTCAATAATTCAGTTACTGTCCTCCATAAAGAAAGATAAGTGTTTATTCTAGACTCCAATGATACAGTTCTGCCAGTAGTTGTTGGTACTTTGTGGATATATAGAATGAGAGCAAATACAGTTTCATCTATCTATTAATTTAGGGTTGGAATTAATTTTAAGTAAAATTTAAACATTTCTATCTACATTTGCTTTTTTGAAAAGAGCTATAATAGTATCTAAGTTATATGCTAAAGAGGAAAACATAAAAACCAGAAGAAAAGTATAAATCGCTGGTATTTCAGATTATTCTATCTTTCTTTTTTTTTCTCTCTAAAGAGAGAAGTGATTTTTTTTAATATTTATTTTTTCGGTGGACACATCTTTGTTTTTTTTATTTTTATGTGGTGCTGAGGATCGAACCCAGCGCCGCGCGCATGCCAGGCGAGCTTGCTACCACTTGAGCCACATCCCCAGCCCCTCTATCTTTCAAATAAGGACTTAGCAAAATAATGACAATAATTATGAATCACATAAAATGGAAAAGACTGATTAGTATTACAAATCCAGGTTAAAGATGGATGTGGTAGAACATGACTATAATCCTGGTGACTCAGGAGGATGAGGAAGGAGGATTGCAATTTTGAGACCAGCCACACTCAGCAACATAGTAAGAATTTCAGCAATTTAGCAGGACCTTGTCTCAAATAAATACTAAAAAAAAAGGACTGGGGATGTACTTCAGTGGTAAAATATCATGGATTCGATAATCAGTAACAAAAATAAATAAACATTTTTAAAAAATCCAGGTTAAGAATAGAGACTCTACAATACAGTCTTCTTTTTCAAACAAAGAAGGTGAAAATGATGACAACAACAACAATAACAACACCAACGTTAAGTTTAGCTAAATAGTCAAGACAAAAAGAGAACAATATTAAAAATTTCTGCATAGAGGGTTGGGGTTGTGGCTCAGAGGTAGAGCATTCGCCTAGCATGTGCGAGGCCCTGGGTTTGATCCTCAGCACCACATAAAAATAAAATAAAGATATCGTGTTCACCTATAACTAAAAAATAAATATTTAAAAAAAATCTCTGCATAGATGTGGGAACAAGAGCCTCAATATTTTTGGCAAAGTTTAGGATTATAATTTTTTGTAAAGGTTTTCTGAGGACTGTAAATTAGTTAAATATCAGCTAGAATAATCCCAACGGTTGTGTTGCACTGTGTGGAAATGACAAAGACAAATAAATTTATTCACTTTGTTAGTAAATGAAAATGTCCTAAAACTGCACACATGTAATCAGATGAACCTTACCAAATAAGCAGACACTTAGATAAATGATCACAACCAGATGTTTTTTTTTCTTCTCCACTGAAGTATACTGTTGACCCATATGATTCATACATAATGACAAGTGGGAAGAGAGGTTTACTCAATCACTTTCCTTTAGTGTATTATATGTTACAAATCACTAACTTTATTTGTATAGATAAGTTGCATGTAGTGTCTTGGGTATATACTATCGTTTCTATATGAGGCTTAAAGCTGAAGTTGTTCAAGAATAAGATGTCAGCAGCACATGTAATTCTGTAAAATTTTGATCCTTAGATTAAGATAAAACTAAAATAAGGCATTCAATAGTTCAACCTTTAGTAAAACAAAGAAAGGTTTTCTAGCTTTTGTTTAATAAAAAAATAAGTTAATTTTTATATTTTAAAAGATAAGCAGATATTTGAAAGAGGTGGGATAGAGGAGGGAGCCTGGGTGTCCATATTGAAATAAAGGCATCAGAGAAGGTTCCTAATCCCAAATCCAAGGAAGCCAAGAGATGTTACATTGGCCCGAACTTCAGCCAAGGAAAGATGTTAAAAATACATACCAAGAACTTACTTTTAAAATTTTATGTATTATTATTATTATTTTTATTATTTGATACTCAGGATTGAACCCATGGGGCTTTACCATTAAGCTACAGACCCAGCCCTTTTCATTTTTTATTTTGAGAAGGGTCTCACTAAGTTTCCCAGGATGGCCTCAAAGTTGCAATCCTCTTGCCTCAGCCTCTCAAGTTGCTGGGATTATATGCATATGCCACTGTGCCTAGCTATTACCAGGAAATTTAATATAACAGCATGAAGTTTTACCTTCCTTTATACTTAATTTCTTTTAAGGTTGGAAAATTAGAGTCAGTAGATCATCAAGTTTGATAACTATTTTTTAAACTTGAAAATGAGGTATAGAAATAAAACAATTCATTCTTTCTTGCATATAATATGCACAGGTCCTGTACCACCTCATCAGAATGCTATTTAGAGGGCAAAGAAAATAGCACATTATTTAGAATGAAGGGAGTATATGTGGTAAATATTTTGAGAAAGTGAAAGCTTATCCTTATCTTTAAAAAAATGGCACCATCAATGTTCCAAACCACTCTAATTTTAATGACTCTTCTCTTAAATCTTGCTCACTCAAACAAGAAGTAAGCATTCATCAATTTACTGTTATTTACCAATTTGAAGCGATCCTAAGATTGGCTACAAGTATCATATTAATCCAGTTTTTAAAAAGTACACGTTCATTTAGGAAAACACAATCTTAGAAGGAGATGAATTAAGAACAAGAAAGAATTCTCTCACAATGGGATCCATCAAAAGTCTTTCATAGCTAATTTCTTCCATTATATTTGAATACAAATAATTATCCACATGAGAAAGTGGAGGAGTAGAGAAACTACCAGGGGATGCTGCTAACTTTAGATAACCAAAATAAAAACCAAGATTTCTCTAAAATCCTAAAGTAAGCAAAGGCATAAATCAATTTACATTTAATTAAACAAGCATATGCCTACTTTACAAAGCAATGTTACAACCAAATACTGGATTCTAAGTGACTAAAAAGAATTAAATGAGTAAGAAAGTGATTTTCAACTGCAGAGGGCTATATAAATATAAGGTACAATAAAAATGAAGTGAATAAAAATTATTAGGGACCTACTATCTACCAGGTAGTAGGGTAGGAACTTCATACATATTAAATTACTTACTACTCAAAGAATCTTTGCTAAATAGATATGAATAAATGTAATTTGATAAAGAGCCCTTGAGACTCTGAAAGATTAGGCAATTTATTCAATATTACAATTTATAGCAAAATTAGTACCAGCACAATGTTTAGAACATATGAGTATATTTAAACTTGTCTTTACCATGAATTATTCTAATTGATGCTAACTTCTCTCTTGTATTAAGTTCTTCAACACAGTATTGTTCAACTACATTTTCTTCAGCATCTTATGGTATCTTTCAGGTGTCGAACCACGTATTTTACCTTTTTCTATAGGCTTCTCAAGGTAGACTTCACTTATCCAATCCATCCATTACTATAATGAAAGACAAAAGGGAATATCTTAGTTAAGCAGAATCGAAAAGGTCCCCGAAAGTCAGAAAACAAACAAGATCACATTAAAGAAGTCCAATTCCTATATGCTAGCAAGAAAAACCCTGGCTGACCTCTATAAAAATGGACAAATTAAATGAATGGACAATTTACATAAAAGGAAGAACCAAAAGGCAAATAAACATGAGGAGATATCCAATGTCCTTATTAATCAGAGAATCATAACTTTAAGAAATTCAATAAAATTTTATGCCTACTGGACTGCCAAAAATATCAATCAGTTAATATAAACACTGTTGAAGGTGGGAAATGGGAAATTTCATTTAGCACTTGTGGGAGTGTTGTCATATTAGAAACTATTTTAGCAAGACACAGTGAAAATGAGTATGGACATATAGTATTAGCTAGCAACTACACTACCAGATACAAGCCTCAGAAAACATTTCACACATGTACAAGTAAAAACATCTTCACCGCAAGTATTGTTTGTAATGACAAAGAGTTGGAAAATGTCATTACTATGAAAATGGTTAAATGAAATATGATACATGTGTAGAAAAGAAAATTAAATGTATATACATCAATATTTACAGATTTTAAAATACAAGGTTGGCAGAGAGAAGAAATTTTGCCTGTGGACAACAGTGTAGTCTCATGCCCTTGGATCCAGTTTGCCTGTGATATTTCCTTACTGAGGGGGTGTCCTACAGATTCCAGATTATTTTAGCCAACCATTCCACTCCACTTTATGGAATCTATTCTATATCTAAACGTGCTTTTCCCACTGAGATTAAAGTGAATGGGGCCACATAAGAACAATAATCAAGCACTAAAGGAGAACAGTGATCTAACACTAAAGGAGATTGTTAGGAAGGTGAGTTCTATAACATGGAAAACACCATTATTATTAAAAGTAACTGATGTGCCAATGGAAAATAATTGATTGGATAACTGTGAATCTAAATGAATGCAGTAATTGGAAGAAATGTTTGGAAAGAAAAATACACTTATAAACTATAACTTGTTGGAGAACAACAACAAAAAAAAAACAGAAAAATGTGAAGATTATGTTAAAATATTTAAAGAAATTTATAAAGTGCAGATTAACATATATAGCAAACTATAAATTAATGGTAGAAATACAACAAATATTAGAGATGATTACTATTAATTAAATAAGGTTCACAGAAATAAAAATTATTTTAAATTAAAATTGAAAGAAACAAAGTATAAAGAAAAAGATGGAAAGGAAGAATGAACTTGGCAATATGGTGATAATATGTGGAGTGAAAAGGAAGTAGGTACATTGTGTTAAGGGCAAAAAGTTGATATTCTGGGATGATCAGGAAATCATGGTAGAGATTATTTAAAAAATTGGTGAGTGAGGTCACAAAGAAGTGGATGGGTGACAACTTTTGAAGGACACAGATACTAGAAAAAAATGACACAAGCAGCACTAGTAAGAAAGAGCAGGTTTTGACAAGGGAAGCATTGTGGTTAAATTATTGATGGTTAAAATGAAAGTGGCATCACATAAAAAAAATCAATGTATAACATTTACTGATGTAACATTCTGTTAAAAAAGGGAAAAAAAAAACGCTCAAACCAAAAATCTAACTTCACACATTAGAAACGAGGAAAAGAAAACTAAACCAAATCTTGCAGAAGAAAAGGAATGAAGATTGGAACAGAAGGAAGATTGGAACAAAAAGTACATAGAAAAACAATATAGAGAGAATGAAAGAAAATTTAAAACATGGTTCTTTGTAAAGGTCAAAAAAAGAGATAAACTTGTAGCCAAATTGAGAAGGAATAAAAGAGAGAGTTCAAATTACTAAAACCCAAAACTACTATTAGCTAGACAAAAGTTTTTAAAAGTAGAAGAGAATAATATGAGCAACTATACCAACAATCTGATAATCTAGGTGAGATCAACAGATTCATAGAAACACACAGACTAGCTAATTGTATCCTGAAGAAATATAAAATATGAACAAATCTATTAAAAAGAAATCAGGGCTGGGGATATAGCTTAGTTGGTAGAGTGCTTGCCTTGCATGCACAAGGCTCTGGGTTCAATACCCACCACAATAAACAAACAAACAAACAAATAAGGAAATAAAAATAAAAATAAATTGAATCAAAATCAGCCCAAGAAGAAAGTCCTAGGAACAAATGGGTTCATTATTAAATTTTTCCAAATATACAAAGGAGAATTAATACCAATGTTTTCTAAACTCCTCTAAAAAATAAAAGAGAGAAAACTTCCTAGCTCATTCTATGAGACAACCATTGACATGTTATAAAAGATAGACAAAGATATCACAGTAAAGGAAACAATAGAACAAAATGCTCAAAAAATAGTAGCATACTGAAGCCAACAGCATACTAAAAGCACTATATACCATGAACAAGTAGGATTTATCCCATGAGTGCAAAAATTCTTCAACATAAAACAAATCAATATAATAAACTACATTAGTAGTATGAAGGGCAAAACCCAAAATAATTTAAAGCAGAAAAGTCATTTCACAAAATAAAAACACTTTCATTATGAAAACACTCAGAAAAAACCTGGAATAGAGGGAATTTCCTCAACATGATGAGGAACATTAATGAAAAATCCACCACTATCATGATACTCAATGATGAAACACTGTAAACTTTTCCCCTAACATCAGGAACAAGAGAAATTTGCCTGTTTTCTTTTTTTTCCATTTCTGCTCCACATTGTATTGCAAGTCCTAACCCGAATAATTTGTGGGGGAAGGAGAGAATCGGCATTCAAAGAAGAAATGAAAGTAAACTCATATTTGTTTTCAGATGATATTTTCTTATATATAGAAAAGCTTAAGTGACTTAGGGGACTCATCGTGCACATACACACATGAGGCAATAAATATACTGAGAAAAATTGCAGAATGCGAATATTATTATTGAAAAAAATGATTGTATTTATATATACTGGAAATGCAAAATTTGAAAAGGATATTAAGAATATAATTCCATTTATAATAGCCTCAAAATTATAAATATTGAAGAGATATTTCACCAAGGAAGTGTAAGACTTGTATATTTAAAACTGAATATTGTAGTAGAAGGCTCCCTGATCACAACCATAGCCAAAAGGGAGATCAATTAAGGTGAAAAATTGTCTGATCCAAGGCATCAGAGAATGGCAGCTCCCATCCTGAACCACCACCCATCCGGATCTATGGTCACAACTGAAGAGTGAAAGAGCACTGCTTTGTCATTGGCTGGACCTTGCATCATGCTAAGCAAAGTAAACCAATCCCCAAAAACCAAAGGCCAAATGTTTTCTTTCATAAGTGGATGCTGATCCATAATGGCAGTGGCATGGGAGGAATGGAGGAATTTTGCATATTGCAAAGGGGAGGGAGGGGAACGGAGAGGGCATGAGAGCAGGAAAGAAGGTGGAATGAGATGGACATTATTACCCTAGGTACATCTATGACTGCACATATGATGCAACGCTACATTGTGTACAATCAGAGAAATGAAAAGTTGTGCTGCAATTGTGTACAATGAATCAAAATGGATTCTGCTGTCATATATACCTATGACAAATTAAATAAATTAATTAAAATAAATAAATTTTTGAAAAAACACAAATAAAGCAAAATTTTCACTTTCTTCAAAATTTGCATATAGAAGCTGCCTACCAGTGTGGTAAATGAACAATATGCTGACAGTTCCACAAATTCTAATATAAGGACAATCTTATCAACATAACTATGACATTCAGAAGATAAACACCTATTTCCAAAAATATGTAGGTTTTTAAGGTTACTTTTATTAAACAGTGATTTTGTATCTTCAGTTTAGAAGCTAAGTTATTTTTATTTAAAATATCCAGAAAAAAATCTCTTAAAAGGTAAGGTTGCCATTTGGTAAAATAAATCTTAATTATATGTTGCCAACCCATTTTAAATTTCACTTTGTTTATGAGCCAGGGATAATAAAATCACATCTTGTTTATATGAGTTTGTACTCTATCTTTACAGGTCTTTTAAAGATGAAGTTTGAAGAAAATGGAAATGTAATTTTATCTGTCAATAATAATGATTATCTTATAATACTAATCATTGTTATTACCATGATTTGAAAAGGACAGGCATAATAAAAAGAAAAGAAAATGAAGCATATAATTCTAGTTTAATCAGAATCTCTCCTCAAATCTCCAATTTACACATTTAAAAGTAAAATCATTATAAAATCAGCCTACCATAGACTTGACTACAGAATATTGTCCAAATAACTTTCCCCACTATTTAATGGATATTACCATCCTTTTGGTAATCTCTTCTTTAAATTGAAATGTGGTATTTTTCCACTTGACATAGGAAGAGTATTATTATTATTATTATTATTATTATTATTATTATTATTAGGTACTGGGTATTCAACCCAGGGGTGCTATTTCACTGAGTTACATCCCTAGTCATTTTTTTTCTTTTTTCTTTTCTTTTATTTATTTATTTATTTTAAAATTTCGAGGCAGAATCTTGCTAAATTGCCTAGGCTGGCCCTTGTGATCCTCCTGATGCAGTCTCCCAAGTAGCTGGGATTACAGGCATTTGTCAATTTGTCACAGCTCAGGTTATGGGAAGAATCTGTTACCACTTTTTTCAAACATCATTAAAAAACTAAAAGACAATCTCTGAAAGACTTTGCAGTTTAAACACTAAAAGCATAACATTTTTTTCAGTCATCTAGAGAGTGATGACCTTAAGCCTGTGAACCCTGATATTTTTACCTATGTGCAAGATCCATAATTATCTTCTAATTTTTCTCACACTGTCTAACAACATGTTCACCAATGAGAATGCTAATTCACTAACTTCCTATCTTAACAGGTTCAATAACAAAGAAAAGGAAGAAAACTGAGAAAGATGATACTGTAGTATATTAATGTTAATATGAATTTGAGGAAATGTAAAAAAGATCAGCAGATGCTGAAAA